TTATCGCAGTTTATAAAAACTGCAATCATTACACTTGCAGGGTTAAGGGTGATGGGAGTTGGCACCCAGACCATTTCAATGGGCTGAAGTGGTCTGGGTGCCTACAGTGTCTCTTTAAATAGAAAAAATACTTATGATGGGACTTGTGTCATGTATATTTGTAATATGCAACCATTTTACAAATATATGAAGAGAGCATATTCCCATCAACAATATAGCCCTAATAATATCATGCATAAAGTCTGCTTTGCTACAAACTGGACACTTCCACGTCTAAATGGTAACACAGTGAACTTCAATGACCCAACGGATCTAAAATGGTCCTGAAACTGAGCAGTACAATTACACACCAGACTTAATTCACTTCAAGTAGATTCACATGGTTAATTCAGAATCTGTACACAAGACAGCAAATGTTGACTAGGGATGGGATCTATTTTTAAAATACACTCTGTGACCTCTGCATTGCTTTCAACTGAAACATCCACTGTACAATGCTTTGCATGGACACATCATTTAACCTATAAGATACTGGTTTGTATAAAGAAACTGCTCTGACAAGATGCAAATAATAAAACAAACATGGTAAAGGGAATGATATGGAAAATAAAACACAGAGAGCTTGCCACAAGATTAATGTACACCTTGTTACACATATATCTGTTATTATACAGCATTGAAGACACAAGAGTTAATGCATTGTTGTGTGCTTGAAGGTCCACTGACCATATGACATACACAAATGGCAATTGTATAAGCACTGCCTTGCATTGAATCCCCATAGGTATTGTTTTATGCCATCATCACTAGAATGTGCCTTGACCAGTTTGTGTTTGTAAATGATATGCATCCCTCCAAATCTGACACCACTGTCATAGTGTAAACGGGTCTTAGTGACAACGGCACCCTACATACCATCACTGCAATGGTTTTTTACCCATTATTTAAAATGCTACATAAACTGGCACACTTGTTCTCTCACTGTGCTTCTGAACTGGCTAGGATTACTTAACACGTTTGTGGTTATCCGTGGATGGTAAGACATCAATTACAGTACAGCAGACCAGCTTATTTAGAAGAAACAAAACACCAGCTAACATTTTAGATGTAGCCCCAAGATCTGGAAATTGTCCAGTACCGGTCCTAACATACTTTTACAAAATCTGCAACTCAGCCTTATCTGATTGATGTCACAAAAACTGTGTTTACTTTTTTTTATATTGTATTTCATTGTACATTAATACAAGATTCTGCCTTTAACTTGGACTAGGGCACTTTGCATTTTTTTATGGAAAATGTTTTATGCAGACATGAGAATTAAACAGGAGTGTTAAACACCAATTCCATTTTTTACAAATGAGATGAGATTTGTTTTTGAAAATAAGTAATTCTATATATATCAACAGACTTTACATTACTTAAATGAGTATATGGGACACCATCTATGAATATCTTTCCGACTTTTCATATAACGACTTTCTTAACAATACTCACTTTAGATTCAAGCAATAGAACTAAATAAATTTAGTGTTTTAAAGCACGAATATTCTTTATGAAATACTCTCATTGACGTTTTTTGGAACTTCACTGATATTCAAATGCAGTCAAAAGATATCCTAAAAACAAGAAGGGACTACTTTTTCCTGGTATATTTTCAACACATGAAAAAAGTTAACAAATGGCGAGCTACCGCTATCACGTTTTGTAATTTCCCCCAGCCGTCATTAGTGATAGCTAATGGGAAAAATACATTGTCTATGGAAGATCCTGAGTCCTGGCAGGATCTTCCATAAACATCAGTGGGCAAGCGCATGAGTACAACACATGGGCTTCTCGCAGATGAAGCACCAGGGAAATGGACCAGTAGGTTGATCATAGCGTGGTCGCACGGGACAGATTCAGGTAGATAAACATCACCTTCTCCTGCCACCAGACACCCAGCAGACCAGTCACCCTATGGAGTCTTTAGAATATATATGTGGAAAAAACAGACGGCAAGAAAAGTATAGTTGTAAGTATGTCAAAACAAATGTAAATAAACTGAGCATGAATCTTTTTACCACTTACTGGGAAGTGCAATTACTTCCTGCAACAAAATGTTTAAATATTCTGCATGAGCATCCACACGTCCTGTTCCCTACTGGTGATAAATGAGATTTTTTTTTTTTTTTGCAAGCCACAGCTAATGTAATTACAATGAAACTGCTAATTGCTACAAAATCATAATATCTCAAACATATAACTTTTTCATCTATAGTATTTGACATTATATATATATATATGTATATATATCTTAAAATAAAAATAAAATTTACACTTATACAAATTTCCTTTCACAAGGAAGAGTATTTCTCATTTTACAAAGTAATACCATAAACTCCAGATGTGTGTTTAAAATCTGCAGACCTTACACTCAAATCAGCATCCCTAAAGCAAAGCATAATAGACTTTCACAGGGTTATACACTAAAGTGAGAATTCAAGGTGAATTCAAAGTGAATTTCAAATTTAAGGTGAACATAGCAGAACTTTAAAGAACATCTCTAAGTCAAGATTAGTCAAGATTCAGTTCAGCTACTACAGGCTTCAATTTAAAATTCACTTCAAATTCTCGCTTTAGTAAATAACCCTCTGATTTGAAAAAGTTAAAAGACTGTGTCATCTTTCAAGAAAGCTCTTTTGAAAATGCAATCCTTATAAATGTAAAGCGCTGTGGATATGCTGGCACTAATTATGATAGTAATATGACAAGTAATGCCACCCATGCACTGCAGTGCACAACCCCTTTACATTCAATTATTAAAACCAATCACACATATGAATAATTGAAAAGACCTCCCCCTGGATACAGCTAAGCATGTCATATGGATGAGTGCCCAGAGCCTGTCACTCCATAAATAAATAACTTGAACGCATCACCTGGGCAGGTATTTGTACCTTCTCACCATAACATATCACCTGTAAATAAATAACATACACACTGTCACCCTGATCACACCACAGCTTGCCACACACACAGTCTGCTCACCACAATCTGCCTCTCACCACCTGGACAGGTATATGTACCTTGCTCACCCAAAAAAAAAATACCTGACTCCACAGTTTCACAGCTGTGGTACTTCCTATGTACAAATGAATGATTAGACCTGTATCCAGAGCCTGCACTATGATGTCCTCAGTCACCTGAGGGGACACTCAGTCATTTCGATGATCACCTGCTTTGAAAAGATCCCGTTCCCATGACAGAGAAAGCACTCACCTGGATGGGCCATGGTGATGGTGTCATTGGCATTGCTGGACCCCACGTTATAAATAAGCACAGCGGAGGCGTTTTGCAGGGCTGCGTGCCTGATCTTATCCCTGTAGGTACAGTTCCCCTTGGGGATGAGGGCTACCCATTTCACGGTGTGAGCAGGCACAGGGAACCTGCTGGCCGGGTCACAGGCCAGTCTATCCGGCTGGGAGGAGGGCATCACCGCCAAGCCCCAGGCATCCTGCTTGAGGGAGTGCTCCCCGTACCTCCCGCACTCGCTCTTCTCCGTCCGGTTCAAGCCGCTGGAGGGGTCGTGGAAGGTAATGTTGACGAAGGCCGTGTACCATTCCTCCTTCTCGGCCACCGTGAAATCCAGGCACAGCAGATGCACGAAGCAGAAGGACAGCAGCCAGGTGGAGAGAGCCAGGCTGCGGCATGCTTGAATGAGAGACATTGCCATTTTATGGTGCCTGCTGTCTCTCTCTGCCTGCTGCATATGTCACAGCCAGAGACCTGAATTTCATTGGCTACAGCAGGATCTGCTCTCTGCTCCCTCCACCTCCTCCTTCATAACACTATTTTTTTTCCCCTTCTTCTCCTCCACTTTAGTGCGGTGATTTGTATATTACTTGTATGTAGACGGATGGATAGGTGTGGTTATTATTTGATGTTGTCGCTTTCCTGAGTGTTCCAATTTGGAACTTGGAGAGAGGATGAGAGAGAGGCGGCGCGAGGTAGAAGGTAGGCAGCACTGCAGCTTTTGTTTGGGTCCTGCCTGTGTCTGCCCTCCTCCCCTTTCACTCTGTGTATACTGTGTATAAGGAGGGGTTTCTGTGATGAAGGGTTCAGTTATCCAGAGGAAACTCAGTAACTGAGATGGCTAGTGTGGTAATCAAGTTCATGTAAGAGACCCCAGGGATTATTACTATTGGTCCACTAAAAATAAAAAATAAAAACATGAGTGTGTCTGCATGTGTGTTTGCCTGCACCAGCACTTTCCTGAAAACTCTACAGAAGGTACACAGTATTCTTTATGAGATCCATGTTTTAGGAATATACTTGCACTTTTATCAAGGTGGATAAAATATTTGTTTTTTAGAATGAGCCAGTGAATGATAGTGAGAGAAAGTGAAGGTAGTGTTAAAAAGACTTGGTAATCAACAGAAATAAATTACCCCCAACCATGAACAAATAAAGATCATATAAGCATACAATGGCCTCAAGTTCGAGAAAAAAAAGCACTTCTCTGGGACACAAAGTGATATGTGGTAAATAATGTCAGGACAGCGTTATTGAAAGAAAGTAATGAAAGAAAAAGTGTGTACTATTATACCATCAATAACGTAGTGAGAAATGGATCAATCCACAACTCATAGAATACTGAAAGGATAGTCATTGTATAGAAATATTTACAAGGGATAAAAAAATATACAAGTTATTGAAAGGATGTTTCATTGTAATGAGATGTTGCACAGTTTTGTGCATACAGAACAGGATAACCTTGTGATGCTAATTCCTTCATAAGATTCCATCAGGTGTGCCAGGCAAGAACAAATGGATACATTTATCTGCATTTTCGTAGGTGGAAACAGAGGATCCATGATTATACCTTTAGCTGCGTCTACATATTTTGGGAACATGGGCGAGACAAAAATCTGACATGGGCATTTAAACACTATAGTCACCCAAATTACTTTAGCTAAATAAAGAAGTTTTAGTGTATAGATCATTCCCCTGCAATTTCACTGCTCAATTCACTGTCATTTAGGAGTCAAATCACTTTGTTTCTGTTTATGCAGCCTTAGCCACATCTCCCCTGGCTATGATTGACAGAGCCTGCATGAAAAAAAAACTGGTTTCACTTTCAAACAGATGTAATTTACCTTAAATCATTGTATCTCAATCTCTAAATTGAACTTTAATCACATACAGGAGGCTCTTGCAGGGTCTAGCAAGCTATTAACATAGCAGGGATAAGAAAATCTTAATTAAACAGAACTTGCAATAAAGAAAGCCTAAATAGGGCTCTCTTTACAGGAAGTGTTTATGGAAGGCTGTGCAAGTCACATGCAGGGAGGTGTGACTAGGGTTCAGAAACAAAGGGATTTAACTCCTACATGGCAGAGGATTGAGCAGTGAGGCTGCAGGGGCATGTTCTATACACCAAAACTGCTTCATTAAGCTAAAATTGTTCAGGTGACTATATTGTCCCTTTAAAGGCAAAGTAGCCCAGTAGGAGGAACATGTTGTGTCATTACTAATGACATGCAGGCCCTCAAATTGGGCATGTCAGTTCGATGTGCAACCAGGATACCCCATGCGCAAAGTTTTCCCACGGGGCAAATACCTTGTTTGTTTTGTGTAGTGCAAGCAAACTTACATGCTTTTTCTGTGTTTCCTGGTGACCTATTGCTGGACCCAGGAGAGGGGATTGCTGATTGCTGGTGGTCCGGTAGGTGGAGATCCTGGTGTGTATAACTAGCAACTGGAGACCGCTGCAGACCAGCGTGTTGCCATGGCTATCTACCCCTGCTCGGATATTCTTCCAAAAATCAATTCATGTGGTCTGTAATTGTTGAAGGTGCAGCTCCCTGACCAATCCATTACTCTGGACTAGCAGTTGAGGGGAATCTTTGACCTTCCAGATACTCATTATTATGTATCTTGGTGCTCGGGTTGCATCACCTTGCAGGGGCGGATGGGAAGATCCTTTGATCCCTTCTACAGGCCTTGCTCCATGACCATAGCGGCACTTCAGCATTTCCCTATTTGCCTGATGACCATTCTGGTCCTTTTTGACTGTACTATTAAACATTTAAGTGCAATACATGCTGACTTTTAATAGAGCTCACACAAGGATAGAAGATTTTGGTGAAAAACTATTATTTACTATTATTTACGATATATTTAATATGTACGTAAACATGTTCATCCAAGGTGAAATTTAATTCCCTTTAAGGAGTGAAGAAGGATTTTTTTCCTTCTTTGTGGTATAAATGGCTATCGGTTTAGATTGGGTTTTGGTTTTTGTTTTGCCTTCTAATGGATCAACAGCATAAATAAAATGTTTAATGTGTTTATTGGTTAAACCAGATGGACGTTTATTCAACCTAGATTACTATGTAACTATTTAATTTTTTTTCTGCAAAGGAAGGTATGCTGGCTTCAGCATCCACATAGTGACTTAGTAAGACTGATACAGATATGCTTTGCAATGGCAGGACACTGGAAGCAGGAGACTACAAACAAGATATTCTCTTATACTCTCTTGAGATGTAAAACATTACCAGCTAGACTAGAGGTCTAGTGCTGTTTCCCTAAATATACAGAAACCCAAATAGTATATGCTTATTTCTAGATTTTGTTACAATTATCCAAAGATGGTCAATAGGCTTAGACCCTTGTGGATGAGCAGGCTGTAGTCATCCAATAACCTAAGGGGAGGTTTAGGAGGACTTAGCAAGAGTCTTGTCTTTATTAAACTGGTAACTTTCAAATGTTGTGGATTTAGCTCCATCTCTGTAATCTCTCATTTCCCAAAATTCTCTGTTCCTGTCTGGTCAGATACTTGGCACTCTCCATGCAGTACACATATTTCAGTAGGGACTGTATAGTTACATATCGCTATGGTTTTCTAGATATTAAAGGATCACTATAGGGTCAGGAACACAAACATGTATTCCTGCCCCTATAGTGTTAACACCACCATCTAGCCCCCCTGGGCCCCTCATGCCTCCATAAATATAGTAAAAATCTTACTGTATCCAAGCCAGAAGCTGTAACTTTGCATGCTGTTAGACTCAGAAAAACAAACAGTCTGCTGATATCATCAGAAGTGGTAGCCTGATCCAATCACAGTGCTTCCCCATAGGATTGGCTGAGACTGACAAGGGGGCAGATCAGGGGCAGAGCCAGCATGTTTCAAACACAGCCCTGGCCAATCAGCATCTCCTCATAGAGATGAATTGAATCAATGAATCTCTATGAGGAAAGTTCAGTGTCTGCATGCAGAGGGTGGAGACACTGACTGTTGGATTCATTTTAGGCAGACATGACCCAGGAAGGATCTCTAACAGCCATCTGTGGAGTGGTCAGTGAAGTTATCACTAGGCTGTAATGTAAACGCTGCATTTTCTCTGTTTTACAACAAAAAGCCTGAAGGTAATGATTCTACTCACCAGAACAAATTCAATAAGCTGTAGTTGTTCTGATGACTATAGTGTCCCTTTAAGTAATTTATGATGTAACCTTTATGATTCCTCTCTTACACATTGGTATTATGAAGATGACTTACCTCAAGCAACTCCTGAGTCTAGACATCATTGAAGCCAAAATAGCAGTCATTGATCTATATTTTAATTATTGAAAAGTGCAGCATACATTATGATGTTCTATTGGCAGAGTTGAGTTGATCTTGTGTAGACATTTTGCTAAATGGCAAAACAATATTAGCTTTTTACTAGAGAACTTTAATAAAATATTTTACTAGCACTGTACAACAAGAAACAAGAAAGTTCATTTTTAAAATGCAGCTTAAGTTTATTTATTTTCTTTTCTTTTTATAAAACAGCACATTTAGCTTTACTATATTGTATACAGTTGTCTAACATGCCTATTTGTACTTTTATTTGTGCAGTAATTATAAACTCTCCCCTTAGCTTTCCTTTAGTGTCTTTAAATCGAAAAAAACAAGTAAAACTCAAAGGGAAAGTTTTTTGTTAAAAATTAATATTTTTTATGTTCGTGAATAAGGAAGTTCAAATAAGCATTTATTAGCATTTTAAAATTATTTTTTATAGTCCCTAAAATCCAGTGTCTTCTGCAAGTTCTGCATGGGGAACTGATCCACCTTTTGCCCAGCACTAATGTCCATGTTCATTCTTTGCATTGTTTACTCATACACATCTCATAAAGAATCATTAAGGACACAGTGAACACTCTGAGAAGTTCTAAAAACCCCATACATGATAATAGATTTTAGTTTTAAAAAATCACATTATTAAATAATTAAATACAGTTATTATATCAAATTATATGAATAAATAATAATAATATATAATAATATTGTGGTGGACAGATAAAGAAATAATATTCTCTGATCTTCATGAGAAATTTAGATTTTTTCCCCCCCCTACTTTTTCAACTTTATCTAATCTCACGCAGGCGGCTACTTTGCACTAGCAGGCAATTAACAGAGCAGTAGATAGGGACTTTTAGATTAAAGGGACACTATAGTCACCTGAACAACTTCAGCTTAATGAGGTTGTTCAGGTGAGAACTATAGCTCCTTGCAGCCTTTCTCATGTAAACACTGTATTTTCTGGGAAAATACAGTGTTTACATTGAAAGCTAGGAACACCTCCAGTTGCAGTCACTCAGAATGAACCAGAGGGACTTCTGAGTTAATGGAGGCATAATATGCCTCCATCCACTCAGATCTGCTGTGAACGAGCATCCCGTGATTTAGTATTTCCTCCCACTGCATGCAGACACTGAACTTTCCTCATAGAGATTAATTGATTCTCTATGAGGAGATGCTGATTGGCCAGGGCTGTGTTTGAATCATGCTGGCTCTGCCCCTGATCTGCCCCCTTGTCAGTCTTAGCCAATCCTATGGGGAAGCACTGTGATTGGATCAGGCTATCACATGTCAGCAGACTGCTTGTTTTTCCTGAGTCTAACAGCATGCAGATTTACAGCTTCTGGCTTGAATACAGTAAGATTTTTACTATATTTATGGAGGCATGAGGGGCCCAGGGGGGCTAGATGGTCATGTTAACACTATAGGGTCAGGAATACATGTAGTTGCACTGGTGACTATAGTGTCCCTTTAACCCCTTAAGGACCAAACTTCTGAAATAAAATGGAATCATGACATGTCACACATGGCATGTGTCCTTAATGGGTTAAATGCACTCTGTAAACTTGAACACATATTTTTTGGAAGAAGTGTGCATGGATGCTGTTGTGAATCACAGCCAGGGAAGGTGTGGATAGGGTGCAGGAATAAAGTGATTGATCTCCTAAACAATGGTGAACTGAGCAGTGAAAGAGAAAAGGCATAATCCATGCACAAAAAAACACGTTATTAAAGGGACACTATAGTCACCAGAACAACTACAGCTTAATTTAGTTGTTCTGGTAAGTATAATAGCTCTCTTCAGGCATTTTCGTGTAAACACTGCCTTTCCAAAGAAAAGACAGTGTTTACATTGCCCTTAAGGACACCTCCAAGTGGCCACTACTCAGATGGCCACTGGAGGGGCTTCCTGGCTCAGGGCTGCACAGTAGGCAGCACTGCCGTTCAGCGTCCCCACGCTCTGCATCGGGACGCTGAATTTTCCTCATAGAGATGCAATAATTCACCATCTCTATGAGACGGTGCTGATTTGCCAAAACGGTGTTTGGCCCCACCCCCCTGCTGATTTTAGCCAATCCAATGTTTTCCCCATGGGACAGCATTGGATTGGTTAAAAATCGGCCATTTTGATGATGTCACCAAGGAGGCAGAGCCAGCGCCGGCGGACCCGTGGAGAGCTGGAAATAAGGGGAGTTTTAACCCATTCTGAGAGGGCTAAGGGGGGAAAGCCACCTAAATAGGGTCATGTTTGTGTTCTTGACCCTATAGTGATCCTTTAAGTAAAAGTGGTTTTGATGCTTAGACTTACGATGCATTATACGTTTTGTGTTTCTTTTTCTTCAGTTGTTGAAAAATTTCAGTGGAAACAATTGAATGTATCCATCTGCCAGTTTTCACATTATCATATTATGAATAAAACATTATTCTTGTTCTTGAATGGTCAAAATAATGTATCTGTTTTTGCTATTATAACTGTGAAATAATTTCATACTGGTCTTTTTTTCTTCTTCTTTCAAACACATGATAAGCTTAGTTCGAGGCTGCTTCAACAATAAGTATTCTTTCTCAATTCACAGAGCTGTTGAAACTATTTTAAAAATAGATTATAATATATTCCAGTTGATGAGCTAAATAAACCTTTTCTTTCAAGTAAAAGTTTATATACATGAAA